AGAGGTGTCACAAGAGAGTCACAAACACAAAAAAGGAGGGGAGATAAAGACGATAGATGTTTGGTAGGAAAGAAGAAGCAAACCATACCAGAGCATCCGACAACCACCCGCCCCTCACCATTGAAAAGTGTGAAATATGACAAATTTAAAAAATGCCTATCTATCAGAGTACAAAGAAACTTGATGGTTCCATTCACTAAGTCAGAAAACCCAGATTTCATTCCAATTTGGCCATGATACAATTTTTTGCTTGATATGAGGACGAGCACAAACAACGTACCAACACATAAACCAATTCTGCAGCCTTTGACTACCTGAAGGAACATCAAAAGCAAAGAGCATTTAAATCTATGACGTAGGAAAAGGTCAGATTTAACAACAAAGCAGAGGGATAAAAAAACCTTCACAGAAGTATTGTCCTCAGTATTAAAGTATTCCACAGCACTTCAACTAGCTCCACGAGATGAAGTCCATCTTTGACATAAGCAGTATTGATGGACAAGCAGAAAAACAAAACAACCAACAACAGATTTAACTTGATAACTGAAAGCAAGACTCTGTTTAACGCTTTTTCTGCAATTCAGCTTCTGCCAACATCCGACCCCCAGCTATCAAACTCTTATTGATTCCCCAACCTGTCATTTCAGAGAAGAAGCTTTGAAGGCTGTACCATTCTTCCACCCCCACATACATCAGCCTTTTTCTGTATTTCCATATCCATCCAAGATCTTTAACACTTGAACAGATTATTGAAAGTCATTTACAATTACATAGCAAAAGCTCAATGTAAAGAAACATACCCGACTGATGCTATCTTGGCAAAATCTAAATTTTATAGAACTAGTCTGAAGTCATCACTTCACATCTTAAAATCATTAATCGTGGGCAGTGTTGCACATAGATGTATCTCAAAACCAGCCGCAAATGACTTACATCTGTATGCAATACTGCCCGCGTCATGCTTTCTGAAGATTGAAACAAAATCTTATTTTCCCATAAACTCTAAAACCACTATCATTTAACAGCAAACTTACAAAGATATAAAGTCAGGAGAAGAAAAATATAAACCTGCATGATTAAAGCACACTCCATCATTCTGACAATGACAAAAATGATTTTCTAAACTGACTGTACATCCAGTGCAACAAGCATATGTGAATTTGTTCTCTCGTGCAGGAGGTAAAGAAATGAATTCTTGATAGAAAATAAGCATGTACATGACACAACTTGATAGCTGTCTTCAAGAAGTATGAAGGCCACAAAACCAATTTCTTTTTTCAGAACATGAAAAAGTTCAACACTATTTGTGTCTGCCCTGTAGGAGAATATACATACTTAGTGCTTTGTTGATGGTTGGATTTAACCAGTTAAAAAGAGACAACAGAAACAGCAGTCTCAGAACAATTTTTAAAAAAAGGTAATTTTTTTCAAAATGTTCGAACTCTGTTTTGTGGAGGACTAAGCTGTAGACTAGTGAGATTACATACACTGGAGCCCGCTTAAACCAAACATGATTCATCCGAAAACGAAAAGAAAATCTCAGATTTTTTTTCTTTTTCGTCTTTGTAAGAAAACTATCGATTAGCTCAAATGCTCACATTTCAAAAAGGAAAAAATTTCGAGGGTATGTCGACTAAAATTTATCCATTAACTCAAGCAATCAAGTTTTAATTTTTTCTAGACACACAAGAACGAACATGTGTCGACTGCAGGCCAGAGGGAGTCACCGCCAGTGCACTGTTTGTCTACGTTTCTCACAGACATCAGTGGGCCTACACACATAGGCCTACTGTGCATAGCATAGAGAAGCAAAATATGGAATGCATGTCGGTCATGCAATCTTTTGATTGGTTATGGCCTATTGTCTCTGGGACATTAGTTCGTACAGGCTTCTCACATGTGCACGTGATGGCTTGTTATGTGTTTCACGATGTCACAGGTATTGGGCTTTCTCACTTCTTTGGACTAGCGTAGAGAACAATACAGAGAGTATTGATCTAGTATTTTATTTCTAAAATCTGTTCTCTGTACCTATTCAGCAGACTAAGCAAGCTGACAACGTCAAAGAGAAAGCAAAATGACTGCAGCTCAAATTGCTTTTACTAGAGACAGGTGAGAAAAAACTTTCAAAAAGTGAAATTTGCTACAAGCATGGCATTTCAAATTCTGCGCTGTCCACAATCAGCTCCGTTTGAGCAACCCTCTATAAACTGAAGAAAATCTGGCGGTCCAGGAGAGTTTGTGTAAAGCAAACCCTACTGTATTTTGTTACAACTTATGAATATAAAATTGAAGACAAAATTTCCACAATTAAAAAATCAATTCTTAAAACCACTTTAAAATGTTCTCACAGAACTGAGAATGTATTGCATACAGTACAGTGCATGAACTGTGAGTCTTTTAATGTTAGGGTCAGACTAATCGATTAAACAATGTCATAAGTTTTGAGCGTTAGTTTTAGAACTGTTGAATCTGGACATGTACATATCAAGAAAAGGATCAGGACATTAACATTGAGATAAAAGAGAAAAGTGAAACACTAGTCAAATAGCTGCATATATGTCAAGAAACTTGGTGACACTGGAATCTTGGGAATATTTTAGATAACAGACAAATAAATAAAAAAATTAACTCTTAGATTGGTATGTCATCATTACACAATATTGTTCACAGTCACAAAAAGACCCACAACATCATCGTTAAACAAATAATAAATTACGTTTTCAAAAGTCTTCCCACCTATACCACAACCTCAAAATGTTATGCCGTTCTATGTACAGCTATTCCCTTTTTCAACAACATCTGCACAAATACAATGAAAGAAGACCCATATAAATGTGTGGTTGCAAAGGAAACCCTTCAGATGTCCCCAGTCCGAGGGGAACGCCTCGCCTCAGTCCCATTTTTTACACCCTACCCTCGATTTATGAACGGCCGTCCGCTTCCATCGCTTCGAAAATTTGACCTCGCTTTTTTTTTTACTTCGATGAGGTCAGAAAATGAGCATAATTTGATAGATTTTACTATGAACACACCTCATATTCGGTATCAAATTATTCGTCTTTAAACACTAGACAAAGGCGATGAAAAGCCAGGGAAACCTTCGATTCGCATTATTCACCAGTTGCAGAAAGAGGGCCGCAACGCCAGAACGTTTTTCCGTACTCAGTATATTTTTCGTGAATCCTGGATGAGTTCAAAGGATGACAATTTGTTTTTTGTGTATGAGAAAGTGAATTAAAAGTCTTTGAACACGTTTATTCTACTGCTTTCGGATTCGTAAAGCGAGGTTTAGAACATTGAGGAGATCGAAACTGAAAGTCAAATCAAAATGGCTGCCTCCATACGGCAGCTCACAAAGCAACTGAATCAAAACAACACAGATTCTATCAAACTTGCAAACGCAAGAATATTTTGAAGACAGAGATGATCCAGAGGAAAGTGATTCTGATCATGGTGACCTAGATTCATCGGGTAAGTACTCTTTTTTGTTGTTATTTTAATCAAACGTTCTCCAGCCTGAACTTTTCTTTCTCTCTCTCTCCTCTGCTTCAACTTCAAGTAAGGCTTGAGCAGAATCAGATGCTTCCCTTTCTCTCTTGTACCTCAAGTCTGACGTCTTCAGTTTTACTGAAAACATATATCTAGAATCTACATCTAGATTATTTATATCTAATGAAGTGGCTGCTGGTACGGGACCGTACGAGGAGAAAATTTTTTATTTGTACGGCTACATGTTCCCATACATTGTACGATGGTTGATGCCCGGTGTGCGAGAAGGGAGGTTAGCGCGCGGTCAGCGAGAGAGAGAGAGTGAGAGGGGTTCATTGGCACCATAGATTTAGATCTATAGGCCCAATGTACTCCAGCTTTGGGCACAAAAAAAGTTGTAAATATTTACATGACATTGTGCGCAGTTATTGAGCATCAGCAGACAAACACAGATCATGCAAGAATAACCTGACCATTGCAAGAGGCCGCAACCGATGTCTCCCGTATGAATAGAATATTTTCTTCTCGTACGGCCTGTACGAGCAGCCACGGCCTATATCTAATCTAGAGTCTGGATCTTGTCTAGTTTGTTATTGTTCCCTTATGCTTATGCTTAGAATCTACCTAAGGCCTTATCCTTAGGCGTAAACTAGTTATAGAATCTAGCTGCCCTTGTCGGCACTGAGAATGGAATCTCTTACATCCCCACATATGGCTGGTCATCTGCATTGAGCGCCTGCTTCAACAAGATAAAAGGCCTCAAGACCTATCACCACTTTATGGTCCACAACACAGGCATTGTCATCTGCAAGAGAAACGTTGATGCAGAAGAAGAGCGACGTCCTCTCTTGAAAAAGAAAGCCCCTGTACCACAAGATTTGCCACCTGAGGTCCCATCACCTGGGCTGAGCTCAAAGAGACAGTGGTACCTGTATACAGAAATCAGGAAGTTTGTCGCAGAAAAGTTCCGTGACACTGTGACACCACAGCCCAGTGTTGCTCAGCCTTCTGAGGCAGATTCAGAGAACAGTGTCAGTGAGCCGGATGATACCCTAGCAGTTCTTGGACCTTCACGTGCAATCACAGCAAAAAGGCCAGTGCAACACGCTACCGGACGAGGTGGGAAGAAGACCTGAACAGAATGACTAGAAAGTGATTTTTCTTCGAAATTAGTGTTTCTGTTAGCCTTAATTCATAGAGGATCAAGAAAAGATAAGTATGGAGTTGTATGAGTATGCTGAGAGTGCTGTGTTCAGTCCTATGTACAAAAATTAAGTAAAAATCTTCAGCAAAAAGTTTAATCGCGATTTTCTCAGTTGTAGTTTTCTCTTCTTTTCTGACTTTAAAGGGCAATATCTCAGCTTCTAGTGAGGCTAATTGCATGAAATAAAAGTAAATTGTTCAGAAAAAAGTGTAGATTCAGACAAAAAAAATCAACTAAATTTCCATATTTTGGTCAATGTGAGGTTTTCCCTCGCAGCCACACAAATATTGAAACAAAGTCAATGAACATAACATGAGTTCTCTTATCACGCCACGCCCAAGACTGGCCTGGATTGTTCTACAGGACAGCAGACCTGGCAATGAAGGTGTTAAAATACGTATAAAAAAGCTCTTGGTGAAAAAAAAAAGTCAAAACTCCTTCAAAGACTCTGATATTAAAGAGAGAAAACTGTAACAATGAGGTAAACTGTATGACAGTCCTGCATTCCCAGAAAGACAAGAGCATCTGAAAGACATGTTGCGGCTAGTATAACACTGCACAAAATAATTATTTTGTTTTTAGTGGGCTTTAGAAAGTTGACTTCAAGATCATGGTCAGGAAAACTTGTCCACTTTGATAGTCAAGGGAACTTCTGGACGCCGATGGGATGGGAATCCATCAAAAGCTTGCATCTTTTTTCTCTCTTCACGCCTGAAATCATACAAGAGTTTTGAAAAAAAAAGAGTTACCCTCATTTCAAAAGTTAGGCAGGTACTTTAAAACAAAGGTGGTCACTTCATTCTCAAGGGGTTTAATGTTGATCTCAAAGAAAAAAAAAACCTTGAAAGACTGGACAACATAGAGCATGTGAGAAACAAAGGGCAATTCAGTAGAATATAAAGAAATAATATATCTAAGCCGTTCTAGAGTGCCTACCATTTACTCACTAAATAGTTGTGACTAGAATTCACAATTAGTAAAATACTGCCATACTTCGTCAGAAGCAGATGGACAAAAATGACACATTAACTTTTCCGTTCCAGGACAAAAATGACACAAAAAAGAAGTATGAAAATCTGCAAACACAAGAGCACCCACAAAGTTCCCCTAGAGAGAGTATGCATGCATTCATAGAAGAAATACGACACACACACACTATGACAATTATAAGACAGCAGAAACATAAAAATCAAACGGAAGAAAGAGCATAATGACTACAAATAAAGAAAGAATGACCAAGCAAGTAGAAGACTAGTATCAGTCAACCCTGTTCTTCACTCAGGAGAAAACGTGAACTCAAGTTTAAATGAAAACTGTCGACTCATGGGCCAGAGATTTTTTCAAATTGGTAATAAAGACTCTAATCCAGCATCAAATACTAGTAATCACATTATTATAGTGTACAACTATTCAACACGACAACAGCCACATTTCACCATGATCAGGAAGGAGAAAATGGTACCACTGAAAGGAAGCAAAAGGAGCAGCCCACATTAGATACTACCACCAACCACTTCCATGTTCTTTATCAAAGCTTTCACTTACATTCTCTTCTTCTCTTCAACAATCTGTTGTAGAATCAGTCGTTTCTCAATATCTTCCTGTGTGGAAAAATCATCCGCATCTAGGAAGCCTTTATCACCAGACAGAATCTGAGGGAACATGACAAACAGTTAAAAGAGAGAAAAGGTTATTATTAGCTGTGTCACTTTTCAATCCGACATACAAGAAAAAAAAAAAGCAAACATGCTCAATAATGTTGGTGGTGACATCAATATCAGTGCACACTGAAGAACACTTTGGAAAACTTATTTGCTCCAAGGCTTCAAACAAATCATTTTCTGCTGTAATTTTTACGGTCCCTACAACTACAGCAGTCATTCTACAGAGGTCCTGACTTTTTTTCAAGTTGAATTTATCTGTCTCTGCCCTTTTTGTGTCCAATAATCTTCGATTTGTAAGAGGTATGAAGCTTCCCAAGAACAATAAAAATTTCAACCTGGGTTCACCTTGTACTTGACAACATAAAAATCATTGTCAACAGTAATTGAAACACAGTACCTTGATACCGACGAGATCTCCGTCTTGCACGTAATATGGGGCTTGGCGGATGTTGGTCTTATGATTTCCACGTTTCTTGCCCTTGTTCTTTACAGTTTTCTGTGGGTGTTCAACATACACAGTGAGACACAGGACAAACAACTCCAGGAAGAAAAAATGAAGAATTAACTTCATTAGCCTTCAGTAATATCATCATAATTAAAAACATTTATGGGATTTGAAAAAAAAAGATTCATTTCATAGCTATGAAGCAGATTAAGAAAGGGAAATGAAAAAGTTGCAGTTAGTCTAAGGAGCAAAACTAACTGAAAAAATCTATAAGAAAAAATTAAATAAAAATCAAGTAAGAATTATCATAAGCTTTGGAAGCCTAACAAAGCACAACACAATCAAAGCAAACTGTCATCTTTACATGATTCACCAAACCAGGATCCTGTTTTCGTTCCAGGTAATCTACGCTGTCTAGTTCACATTTTGTTATACGACTCAAAACATTATTTCAAAACAAATTTCATTCATTCATGAAAGGGCATAAATAGATTAAAAAAAAAACCCAACTCTGTTATAGTCATAGTCAGACTAACAATTTTAAATTCTAAAGACGTAACTTTGTTTAAAATTAAGCATCACTACAAATTAAATATGTCAAATAAAAGTGGCCAAACCATCAAACAAACAACAGCAAGATTTATATCTCCCAACTCATGACAAACAAAAATTTGACCAACAAACTTTTAAAAAGTAAAGAAACAGTCAGTCTATATAAGACTGAAGATTTGCAAGCACCTGTGGCATATCACGCAGCACTGTCCACACACAGGTGTCAGGGTTATATTTCGCCAACAGTATATCATGGAGAGGCAGTTCGAACCGCGATGCCACGGCTTTCTTCAGATCTCCAGCCCCGACTCCAGCAGAGCTGTTCCACACAAACTCTTGTGCTGGCATGTAGATGCGAGAACCGCTGATCTTCTGTGCCACCATCAGTAAGATTTCATGTAGGCTACAAAAGAAAAAGAGGCGTACTATGAATGTGTGATAGCAACTTGTCGCAGACAACTCAAGGCTCAGAAAAGTACATTAATTCAATAAAAGTCTCCTTGGTGCTCTAGAAGGGAAGGGCAAAGTCAGACAAATGTCCGAGATATATCACATGAGGGACCAACCAGCAACACTTCCGCCCACCAGCAATTAGAGATAAGATAAAATCAGAAGAACATATAAATGCTATCTGAGAACAAGAAAAATAACGTCTGATAAAAAAAAGCAGAAAGGCTCCCCATGTACTATCATATTGCCTTGACAACAATTCTATCGTATTGTGCTGACAACCCTTTCTGACAAGGAAAAACAAAAAGATGCACGAAAACAGTCATTTTCCAGTAACAGTAATTAGTTAAATGAATTGATTCACGGATAGACTTTACTTACAGTGAGCATCCTTGCTTGCTTATTGCATGTACAACAGAAACTAGTACATTCCAATCACTTATTCTATAAATATGTTAATAATTAAAATAAATCTTTAACAAAATCTCTCAGTGGTAAAACGTAGAATTCACATCAAAGCCAAGTTAAAAAGATACAGTCTATCTAAGAGTAATTCACATACCCCAAAGTTTCCTCTTTTTTCAGAATCTGTATAGCTAGATGGACACCTTCTTTAGAGTTGGCATGCCTGTATCAGAGAAAGAGAGAGAAAAACTGATTTAAAAAACCCATGGCTGAACAAAAGTAGACTGCCAGTGGAGCTAACTGCCTGCCTCACAGCCACTTCAAACTGCAGCTTGTCAGAAGTCAGTGTGCTTAGACAGCCTGAAAGCAGATTTCAATCATATGAATGTGGGTAGAAAGAATTTGTGGTAACTATACCACTAGCTCAATATAATGTTGATTCTGTGATTGAGGAGGAAAAACTTCCCTCTGAAAGCTTTACAAGATAAAAAAAGAAATGACAGTAAAAGTCTGAAAATAAACCCACTGCAACACTTGAAAAATAAAAAATGTCCTTTGCCGAGTCTTTTTCTACATGAAGCACATTAGTTTCATCTCCAGTCAGCCTCAACATAATACCAAGGTAAATGGCATCTGCAAAGCTTCATTCAGTTTATGTAAAAATACCTGAGTGTTTGTGAGGAATTTCGGATCACCCCCTTCAGTCTGTTATTCTCAATGACTCTGAGGCGCATAAAGTTGAGGGTTGGAATCCGCAGGTCCTGGAATTGTGGTGTAGACAGCAACTCTTCCTTCAATCTCTCCACACCAGTTGCTTTTGGCACCACCAACTGTGATCATGTTCAAAAAAGCAAGTGAAATTTTCTAAATAGATATTTCAACTGGTTTGATGTAAGAATACACTTTTTTTATACACATAAATAAGCCTCTGTCAAACAATGGAAAGTAAAACACATGAAGGATACTTGCTGAGTACAGCAAAAATAAGTTGGTTCTATAACTCAACCTCAAGAAGATCAGAATGCTCAGACCACTATCCCATCTGAAATTATATCTAGGTTAAAAAAGAAGAAACATATACAGGGTCCCCACCAAATCCTGGAAATTTTTTTCAAGACCCCTATTCGAGGGAAAAATAAGTCTGCTGTGCGTCAAGAATGATCCCCCAAAAAAGCCAATCTATCAATGATAAGAAGTCAAAACGTCTTTAAATCAATGCAAATGTACATTTTGTAGTATAGTCTTCGAACAATAGATGATTATAATACTGGGTGACGGCCAACCCAGCTTCTCAATTTTCTGAGGGGGGGGGGCTCATCCGTTTTCCAGGGGTATGTTATGTTACATAACAATGACAGCACATGCTCCATTTATCTAATATATGTATATGTTTGTGAATACACACACACACACACACATGTAGGTTCATTATATACAGTCAATAACATGTATTGAGACACTGGGATCTTGTGTGACTTAGGTATTTCAGTCTGTTCTTACTCATTCATATTTTCCCCTTATAATAGCTGATATAAACAATATAAAAAATGAATCCTGTTTTGAGCCTGAGAAAAGACCTAGAACCAGAATATCGACTGTCAATAACCAGTCTGGGTGTCATGAATCATATAATAAACGTGAAGACGAAAACTATTGCTCAAACTCAAGGTAGAGTAATATAAGTAATAACTTGAATTAGACCTGCATGTGAGCCTCAACCAGATTGTCTGAAAATTTTGCGCAAAACCCCCCCCCCAAAAAAAGGCCTTTGTGGGTGTCATAAGGAAGAACATCCGAGTAACGAGCGACCACCCCAACAAACACAATAAAGAAGAGACCTAACCCTAACCCTACCCCCAAAAAGAACCTGCAACGGGCCTCATGTAAAAAGGCCAAAACAAGTCCTAAATGAAAAAAAAATTTAATTAAAAAAACCACACTCCAAAACAAACAAGGAGCATATAGATCTAGATCTAGATTCTAGATCTATATATGGCTTACATCTACATTGCTATAGGGTTTGATACAATAACACAATAGAATTGGGAATCCTTCATATATATATATATCTAGATCTAGAAATCTAGTAATCTAAATAAATCTAGGTCTAGATCTTGTAGAACAAGTGAATAGGAATAGGCCTTGAACTAGAAATCCGCATCCGATTCCGAACAGAGGGACTCAGCTGAGTCTAGATTCTAGATCTAGATCTAGATTCTAGATCTTTACTAAATAAATAAACAATTCACGCACCTGATGAAATGCTTATTTTTACCAATATAAAGATTACAGCACAACCTATGATAGGGTTTGACACAATAGAATTGGAATATGAATCCTCCATTGAGGTCTATAATGATCTATATAAATCTAGATCTAGATTCTATTAGAACAAGAGAGTCGGACTTGAATGAATCCACACGATCTGAACAATTGAATTAGTCAACAAACGAAATTCAAAATGGCCGCTCGAGCACGAAACTGAAAGTAGATAATTTAAGTTGTCGTCCTTTTTCGTATTCGCATTTCTACTTAGGTTCCGACAATTATGTCAGAAACGCCGACGTCGGCAGTCGGCGGTGCGCGCGTCGGCGGTCGGCACGAAAACGAAAGTGCCGACGAAGTCGACGGGAGAAAAATGGGTCACTGGCAGTCGGCCAAGCCTCGCACTACGCACATTGACTGATACAGGCTGGCCTAGCGATAGCATCGGCCGGTTCGCGGGTCGGGTCGCGATTGTCGGATTTCAGACGATTGTCGGCAAACATGCAGGTCTATTGAATGGCTCAAGTAGACTTATACAGTGTAAGAAGTGTACAAACTGAGGGAGGGCAAGATGCAGTGACACCGAAAATCTGCCAATCTGGAACAGAAAGCTAAAAAAAATATATTATATATTAAATACTATCACCCCATCCAATGAAACGCGAACACTCAAGTTCAAAAACAAGGCATGACGGATCCCGATTCCACACAAGGCCTGCACCAACGTGCGCTTTGCAAAGAGCTCTTATAGTGGTTATCAAAATTCTAAAAATTTGCTTCCAAGCTCAGTTTTTGTCCTCTAGTGTAGCCTTCAACCCCACCCCACCCCCTTCCCCCAGGTGCATCTTTAAAAAAAAGAAAAAATCAATACCCCCCCCCCCCATTCCGGAGCCCTATACTTCACAGCACACAGACTGCCGGTACTCACACGATGCTTTATCATGTGATGTGAGCGTGCAGGTTCACTGACTGGACATGATGGCGAGCCTGACAAGACGCTTGTATAACTTTCTTTTCTTTTTTTTTTTTTCACAAGTGACAGCACAGGACTTATATTGATTTATTTTCATGGCGACACAGCGTTTGAAATTAACAACTGACATGTTACAAATGTTGCGTTATCTATCAGACTATTACCGGAAAATTTCTGGGTGGTAACGAAAGCAAGAGTAGATCTTGATTCTTCACGATCGAGCCTCGGTGTCACACATACACTTCCGCCTGCCGTCATAGCAGTTCAATTATGTTTCGTCCTCATGATTCATCAACCATACTCTCTAGATAGCTACACTACTAATAACACCAAGGCCCTATCCTTTCCTGACCCATCACAAAATTCCCGAATTTTTCCCCATTTCCCGACCAGGTGGGGACCCTGTATATAACTTAGCTAGTCTTCATTTGGAAAAGATATCTTATGGTACAACCATTATGATGAATTATGGATGTCAAAGATAGCAAAAGCATCATTCCTATTGACACGAATTTATATTTTCATTAACTGCTACAGTACCACGTTATGATTTTGGAAACTGAGCATGGCTATCTTTAACTAAGTGTAGGCAAACACCCACTCTGAAATCAAAATCAAATCTACTTTACTGAGTGGTGAACATTTCATTTACTGAGGGATAGAGAAAACGAATACACAATATCATTTTTTAAAATCTTACTGGATTTTCAAAGAGCTGTTGAAAAGCTGGGCACAAACAAACATTCAGAGGATTGAGATCTTTTCTGGGGACGTGATCCTTCACGGACAACCTGCTGGCCAGTTCCACTATATGGACACAAAAATAAAAAAAGTAAATGAATTTAGACTCATAGAAAAGAACGAACTGTGTGCCTGAAATATAACATTTTCAAAGCATGACAAATATGTCCTCGTGGTTTTATGCACCCCGCATAATTTAGCAAAATTTGATCATTTTTTTGCATAATTTCTGATTATTTTCCTTTATCATTCTTTGTTAAAATTAACAGAATCGCATAATTTCACATTTTTGGGCTCAGTTTGCATAATTTCACATTTTTTTTGGGCACAAAACCACTGGGACAGAAATATAAGCAGATTTAATTTTACAATGAGTTCACACAGAGACATATGGTAGTGTTAATGACTCATTATTCCATTTAATTTTTACTTAAGTCTTTTTCTTACCCCAGCAACTGAAAACTAAAGAGCTGAAATTTGTACACAAGAATTGTCAACCATACTCCTGTCCGGTTCTTCAATTTATACCCTACTATCAGCTTCCATCAAATCAACAGACTCAAATCAGTAAGGGCATTCACTATCCTTATCATGACTTCAAGTCACACACAACCAGTGCAGAGCTGTCAGTGAAAAATGAAATCTTCACCTAAAGAGCTAGAAACACAACTGTTCATATAGGTTTTTCTTTCATAAATGAAAAAGATAAGAGAGTATGCAACCACAAAATCTCTTCCCGCTCATCTATACAAAGGAAAAAGGTCATGAAGAACTTCACCAAATGACAACAGGCAGGATATCTCTCAAATGAAATAAATTAAGGGGGTAGGAATACACATTAAACCAAACAAACTTAACAAGGATAGTAAAAAAAAAGTTGTTCCCGCATCTGATCCGGACATTGGGGATTGCCTTGTTAGTGAGACAACTTCCTGAGCCTTCGGTATATTGTGGTAGGGCGGCCAGTTCCTTTCCACGCCGCTTTTACTTCCCAAACTCGAAGTCAGGTACCCATAACTGCTGGGTGGGCAGAAGGGGGGAAAAAAAATCTGTGTCCGAACCGAGGCTCGAACTCGGACTTTCCACTTCGGGGACTAGCACACTAACCGCTCCACCACCCCACCCTCGCCAAGGATAGTATTATTAATTAAATTGCCATTACAGAAAGTGAAACAGCATTGAATACACAATATAGATAACTAATTAACTTGCACAATACTTACACATAATTTTGTCCTCCTCCTCCTGTCGGTTAAGAGATGAGACACAACCTGGCCTGTCCCCTGAGCCCATCTCTTGGCCAAAATTTCCTGCTTCTTCCATCACCAGCAGCACAGTCAGGCACACCTCGTCCTGAGGAAATTTGTAATGAGTAACAGCCTTGAGACCAGAAGGAATGAAATTTGATAAATAGGCTAGGCTTTTCAACCCCCCTCAACAATTAACTGTCAGTTTTTATATCAATTTTAGTCGGAACATTTGATTGCAAGGGGGAAAACAAAAACTTTCTAAGGAGCTGAAACACTTTAACTGTGCTGAAGGGCTTCGTTTTTTGTTGTTTTCCATAGAAGTTTTACAGCGCTCGCAACTGCATTAGATTATATGAGCATCAAAGGGTGGATGTCAATAGAGAAGTCCTTACAGGGAATCGGGCTTACTCTGCTCATGTCTCTAGCTTAAACAGCACAAAGTCTGCTTCAACTATCAAGGCACTCCCAGGCAGTTATAAGCATGACGTTGATGAATCAGCCCATTTACAATTCTACTGTGCATAAGAACATATTAATGTCCCCCTTTTGGGAATGGTCTACAGACACTTCAGTTAGTAGCACCGCCCCGGGGGGTATGAAGGGCTTCATGCATCTCACTGGCTGAAAAATAGATATTAAGTCTTGAAAACTTTGTTGTGCAATAACCATGTGATTCCTTTCAAAAAGGTTGAATGTATGTTTTGTTAAGAGGATGCATTGACAAAAGGTATGTACAATCAGGGTTTGAACCACATACTTTGGTGTGCCTTCAGACATGCTTGATTTCTGCTGTCTGAGAGAGGGACAGAGGGAACCAAGGGACCCTAGTGGCAGAACAAAACCAACTTCACACCATGAGCACTGTACATTTACTTGACCTCTGATCAGTACACTTAAAGAGAACACAGTGCAGAGATACAACGAGACAGCAGACAGAAACCAAGGAAGGACATGAAGGGACTTCACGGACAGCATTATCAAATCAAGCCTCCCCCCTCCTCCCCCCAAAAAAAATTCAACCAAAGCAACAGACCAAAAACAAAACCTCATCAAAATTTCCCCAAACCACACTCCACTCATTCATTTCTCACAAGCCCCGTTCACAGAATTCACTTCATCTGACCTCATTCCCAAACACTGGCCTTTGACCTCACCTTCTTGACCAGCACACCTGGCTGCAGCACCAATGTGTCCCCGTCATTGATCAGCAAGTCCAGCAGAGAAACATCCAGATTCTCCAAGGCCTCAGACGGGTCGCCATACACGTCCGTCTTGCTCAGATACCACTGGTTTCCTGCACATGAACATGAACAGCACATGCTCAGAAATGTCAAAAACGACCGCCTAGACATTTCAACCCTATCTGTACGCCATAGGGTCATTTTGTACCCCCGGGGTTGTATTCTTCACATTTTAGAATACTTCTAGTACGAAGATCTCTTTGAAACTTTCAGTATTTCTCAAAAAATCATTTTGACAGACTACTATGCAAAGTGTATGGATGGGATTAACGAGTAAATTTACCCATGTCGTATGGATACGATAGTAAAACATGACGTAGGTATAGGGTTAACCAAAGAAAAGACTTCCTAAAACACAGTGTAAATTTTGAGCACCTCAAAAGACACATCTTACAACTCTGACTTTTTGAAGGCCTTCGAAGGAGTCTAATTTTTTTTTTCCATTGCAAGAAAGTACCTAAGCCACCAGGCACACTGGGAGACCATTTCCACATGGGCCGGAACATTAGACCATTACATACAGCATCATAAAATCGTTAAATCACTTGCCACATTTAACAGTTTTGCTTCACTGCCAGTATCAGTGCCAATATGAAAAAATAAAACGTAAGTTGAAACCTATACAACGAAACTATTTCCACCATATTAATTGTCGGTTGGGAAAGGGGTCCCATTGCTTACCCACCAAGCCCAATGTCTACATTTCTGAGTGAGTGGTAACTCTTTGTACTTTGAGCATAGTAATCAAATTTGTCACATAACCAGATCATATGGAGAGAAAAGTACTTTACCTACCCCCTTTAGGAGGAATATTTCTTTCAATCTGTAAGAACAGATTTGTCTACAGCCAACAACTAAAACACACAACAAACACACAGTTCAAAGAGCACTGACCTTCACAGTCCATGAGCTGACACGCTGCTTGAAGCAGGCTCTGCACAGTCAGCGCTCTGTCCACCAGAAACTCATGCTTAGACATCAGCTTGCCATTCTCCACCTTATTCACACTGATTGTCATCTGAGAGTTAAAAAGAATGCAAGACATTAGGAGTATAATATCCATTCTACTTCATAGAAATCTACTAAGCTAAAAGGAACTCACCTTAATCAAGACATAATTTTCTTATTTGACAAATTTTGAAGGACTTACAGAAACCAGGCTTTTGTAATCAGATTCAAGCATGTGCTTCTTTGAAAAACAGGTATTTTTCTCTGAAGGAATGTATTGTATTTACTAATAATCAAGCTTGAATAGCTTAGATGACTAAAAAGGTGTCGCATTCACAAAAACATTAAATAGTCAGTACTCTAATAAATGTACCTGTGTTTATTGTTACGAGCCAACTGACATGTTCTGTTCACATTTCTCTGTTAAAATAATCTGTTCCCAAAGATAAAATATAGGCAGTATAAAAAATATTGAACAGACCAAATAATTCTATGTTATATCTGTAACTCGAGAACTTCTTTAAGGCTGAAATGAAAATAACACAAAACAAAATAAATCATTCTCTTAAGATTGTGTACAACAGCAGAGAGATCTCTTAGTGCTCACCTCTGTGTCCTGTGGTGGCCTCCCACTTTCCAGAACAACACAGGCACCATCAGAAAGACCACAATCTTGTAAGCTGAGACCTTCACGTACTGGGATGAAAAGAAAAATCACGGGATTCAGAATCTATTTTGAAATAGGAGTCAATATTATAAACATTAAAAAGTGATGTGAAAGTTGACTTGAAAATTGGGACAAGAAAAGCATGAAAAAAAAGTGGAAAGGAAAAGGAACCACAAATTACCTGCTTTATGATTTGTCAGATTTAGAGAAAGGGAGAGAAACATAGACTATAAATTGGTCAAATGAGGAAAGGGACAAAATCAAAATTAATGACCTCAAGTAATTCAACAGCAAAATTTTTAAAAAATGTATAAAGAGCCTTCACATTTTCCATTGACCAAAGTACCAGTTTAATCATAAAGTTCAAACAAAAGACAAGACAGTGTTTACTTTAAATATCAAAGCAGAAAAAGACTGCGAGAAGTGTTTCTATATGACATGAACATTACAAAACGCAGAGTACTAAGAGAAGCTGCATTTTTTTGGTGTCAGTGACTCACATGGAGGTTTTAGTCCTAGACTGCGATGGTCTTCTCTCAATCTGACTGTTTCTGTTGACACTGCATGCACTTGGAGAAGATTCATAGCCTGGACTTTGAAATCCTTCACACTCTACAAAAGTTGGGATCAGAGTTAAAAGGTTGTGAGCAACAATATAAGGCCAATAGAAATAATTCAAATATAAATACTGTGAAAAAGGAAGAACTCACCTAGTCTTCTTCAAAACCCCACCACTGTCCAAATATACCTGGCCCTGGTGTTTCACCACTTCTATACATCTACAATAAACATCCAACATAATGAGCCCCTTTAAGGACCAAATTCACAAGAATATTAAGAGTTAAAAAATTAGGGGTTTTACAGTCTTCAGAATGCAGGTTAATACAACAGCTAAAGTGGAAAACTCATAGAAGGAAGTAAGACAACAAGTTCATCCACCAACTGCCTCTACTGAGTACATAAAAGACACACATGTCTGCAACTTACCACAGAAGGTCTTGTGCGGGCCACTGCAGTTCTACAGGTTACTTGACCTAGGTTCTGGAAAACAGAATAATAAATCAATTCGTTTAAATTCTTTAAAATCAAACATTGAAGACCAATATACTCTTTTTTCCTTATTTACCACCACAAGAAAGATGTGCCATCCTGCCTCCCCCTCTGGAAAAAACAAACTAATAAACAAACATCAATTTGTTCAATACAAATATCACATCATTTGCTTTATTTATCATGAAAAGACAGCAAAGATGCTCTCTTCTAAAGATTGCGCAATCATTTCCTTTCAGCCTGTTGGGTATATTCACCTATCCTGACCGCACAAGATCACACAATTCTTAAACCAAATATTATTTCCTAATTGTTATAAAAAGATTCTCCAAGACATGCTTGCCATAGTTAAAAAAACAAAAGTAAGTTCTCATCTGACTGGAAAAACCATTTGCCATGACAACAAAATACTCAGCAGTACCACATCAATGCCTCAAAGTTCCTTACCCCAGCCAGTCGCTCCAGTCGCTCCTGCAGAGTGATAGACCACTCAGGCTCCATAGGTAATCTGTTGCCCTGGCAAGCTTCAGTTTCTTGTTCCTTCTGAGGTTGTGTGCCAGCCTCACTATAAGGAAAAGAAAACAATTTGCGTTCTGACCACACTAGCATGGACAACTGTTGTGTTTGAGCCATAGCATGGAGCAAGTCAGCATGACAATACCCAAATTCTAAAAGGAACAGAAAAAGAAGCAAGTAGGAAGAGAGACGAGGGCACAAACCACACAAAAAAAGAACAGACTTACCGAGACAGCACATTTCTTAACTGTAGATTTTCAAAAATGAAGGAAATCTCTTCCTAGGCAATCAACATAGTTATAAATTCTATCAAAATATTCTTCAACTTGCTACTATCAATGACACTGTCACAGAATTTAATGCGACACCTCTTCCATAACGTTTTGCTTTACATTTTTGTCTTTTCTTATTCTATCATCTCGCCCAATACCTATTACAAAGGGGGGGGGGGGGGGGGGGGCACGGAAGAAGAAGTAAACGATGGCATATGAGTGTGTCCATATGTGCATTTTGAAATGCATGTGTCCCTGAGATTGGAAGAAAATTTGACATGCAGGGGTACGTTTTGATCCCTGAAAAGTATCTCAAGCCCACACGACTGGGAGAGGGTCCCATACAAATGCATGCCATTATTCTATTGCCCCTCTAAAATCCAGACAGGAACCTTGTAAATCAAGGAAGACAACTAGAACATTTCATACAAAGAACCAAAAGTTAGCAATTTTTCCACTTAATTTGATTTTCCTTTCCGGGGAAAGCTTACCTGTCATCGATAGGTCCAGCAAGTAACACACTGCCATTGCCCAGACCTGACTCTGCCAAACTCACAGTATCGCTTAGAGGCAGAGCCCTCAGAGTGTGATTTCCATTATCTCCCAACTGTCAGGCAATCAAGAAACATTGGTTAATGCATTAAATCACAGTACACACATTTCTCAAAACATCATAGAGCCTTGAGGAAATATTGTGTCAAAACAGGACACCTCATGAGATAAAGAACTGTCGAAGAAAATGTCTTTCAGGTCAAAATTTTAAAAATACAAATTATATGTAAAATAAGTTCTTAACCCTAATTGGTAGAAAACAAAAAGCTTTCAAAGAAACAGATCTTTATTCCACATTTTAGCATTTTCTTTGATTTTAGGCTTTTTAGTGGGTCATTGCCCTTAAAAGTAAGTTTTACTCATTTCCTGTTTTTAAATGACTATCTGGTTGTTATGAAGTCTTAACCAAATTTCTCGCTCAGTGTCCATTACAGACTTAGACTTTCTAAAAACTAAACTTTTTTGACTCTCAAAGTAAAAAAGGAGTACATTAATACACTTATGAGACCACACAGAACGAGAAACAAAATCTCAACACGTAGGGTAACAATTAGATTAGCCAGACCCACCTCGCTGAGATGACTGAGCTTCATCTCCCTGAGCTCCAGGTCGGTGGCAGACACCACCACCTTGTACAGGTCCAGCAGACTTTTGTTCTTAGCCAGCACTACCTGAGCCAACAGTCTTTGTATGTCAGAATCCCGCACAGTCAGGAAAATTGGCTCACACGCCTCGCCGGTAGCCACAAACTCCTCATTTATCTGGTAGAAATACGAGTTTGTGTATTTGTTTATGTGAGTAAAAAGAAGCATATCGACACAATAAATCTCATTTAGTGCATGGAAAAATGACGATAGACAGAACAGACAGAAAAAAAAAGGGAGGGAAAGAAGAGAAATACAACCTTCCAGTGGCATCCTCCACTCACCTGCTTTGAGTAAAACAAAAGAACATCTTCACCATGAGACACATGAAAGTGAAAGTTCAGTACAATAGCAATACTGAGAGGTAGAAAGAAAACTGACAGCACAAGAGCACCCATCATCCCACAAGCAACAATATTTTTGCTGAACTTTGAGAATGGACAACTGCATAGAATGAAAAGAAAGCTACAAAACTCCAACAGAGTAAGAAAAAGACAAGAGAAACGACAAAAAACCCCCAAAAACAGAGAAAAATTGAAGAACAAGTTTTCAGCATTACTCATAGGTATCGCATAAGTGTCCCCCCAATCGCTGATTAATTTCCAGATTTTTTGCACACCCCTCTGCTCCTTATTCCATACCCCCTTCCTCCTAGTTTATTATTTTCCAGCTTGCCACGACCGATGGTCATGTGAAACATTATATCTAGAATCTAGATATCTGAATGAAACTTGTTTTTCTGTAAATTACATTGCAAATTACCCTCAACGTCAGACCTAGTACCGGTACCGGGTTGTCTACCCCAATTTTCTGTGCATTTTAAAAACTTTTGTACATTGGTTTATATTTTTTTATGAAACTGGTTTGTAATGGGAAAAGTTGTCACAGTAACTTACTAAAATCACTAAAATTTCATGATCCTTGTCCTTTTATTCACTGAAAGAGAAATAAAACAGATTTGTTCCCACTAGTACAGGGGTAAGAGGTTGAATGCGTCACAAACCCCCCTCCCCATTATTAATTTTGGACCCCTTGTCCACCCCCCCCACCCATATTATTCCTACCCCTCCCGTTTATTCGATACCTTAGAGTAAGAAGCAGAACTGAGACACATTCCTACTAAAGCAGATATCACTACTGAACAATGATAAATCTGTATTTGCACTTAGATTCAATAACAAACAAACGAAAAACCGGGGAAAAATGTTTTTTTTAAAAACAAAATATTGAAATCCAGTTATAAATCAAACAAGCGTGAAGAAAAAAAAAAGAATTACACATTTTGAATCCATGGAAAGTGCAAAGTTTGGGAGAAGAAAACCCAGGAAAACTTACCACAGCTCCATTCCATACAAACAAACCAGAGTCTGCGGATAAGCCCAGGTCCTGAAGACTGGAACTCTCATCTGTAGAAAAAAAAAGAGTAAGTGAAACTACCACTTAGGCAAAATAAAAGACAGCACCATCAAATTACATACCACACCTTTATATCACAACACCCAGAGGGTAAAATACAAATTACGGGGTCATGATGATAAAAATGCTGTCATAACATTGGCTCATAGTTTTTCAAGTTTAGCAATAAAAATAAAAAAAGCTCCATTAAGTTAACAGCAACAAACAAAAAAGACCCCCCCCCCCTTCACCCCAAAATCCAACATCAAACTAATTTCTGAAGCCGAATAGACGACAAGAAAACTTGCAGTAAAGATACACACAAGTGTTTGCTAATAAAAATAACACATAACATTTTATTCAGCATACCCTCAAATTCTTCAAACAGATGATACCCGCCACAGCAAGGTTTCAGTCTGTGCAAGGAAAAGTCATGCATCGCATAATCTGGCTTTGACTCCAATCTCTGGGGGAAAAAAGAAAAGAAAAAAACTACTAATGTTAACGGTGCTGTGCATTTGCTCACTTGAATTCCTACAGTTTAAAAAGCAAACATATACCACCTTTTAGCCTTGAACCAGAATCTAGTTCCTTACAAGGCAAAATGCGGTACATATGCCCATAATGTTTTCTTTCTTCATGGCAGAAGCTGACAAGAGCTTTGTCTCGGTTTCAAACAAAAAAAAAATAAAAAAAAAAATAATATAGCAGAATTGATCGGAACATAATATATTTCGTTCAAGACAATATTAATATCTAAGGAGAAACATTTTTAAAAAGTTATTTGCATGTCAAGACCAACATAAGAGAAATGATGTTTAGCATCATTATTCCAAATGAACAAACAGGAAAACAAAACTTGTCAGAGACAGTAAAAATTTCTCAGAGTTTTCAACCTTTACTATTCAAGAAGCCATTAATTATCAACAATGAGCAAGTTTCAGGTCTTGAGCTTCTTAATATTAATATCTCACCTTTCAGTTAACAATCAAGCCTGCACCTTAGATGGTCTTTTCATAAAATGGGCCTTAAGAATTGTGTTCTAATGAAATGCATACATATCAAGATTTTATTAATATATAGGAACGCGTAAACTCCAGCAAATGTACTTTATGCACTAGCGAGCCTTTTCTTCAATGAAATAAAGCCAGCTCACCTGCATTATCTCCATGCGCAACTGACCCAGACTGCTCCGACGGTCTATATCTATCACAAAATGCTCAGTTTCACAGTTAGTAGATGATTTAGAGCGCAGCACACCATCATAGCGAAAATCTTCTTGATGGTAAATCTTCAGGCTGACTCTGTTGATAGCTGCCTCATACTCTTGCCTGCGGAAAGTCATCATGTCTTATTAAGAGCAGTACTTTTAAAGCCTCCCTTGCAAGAATTAAACAAATTGTTTATAGATAGACATATTTATTTTTGTGTTTAATCTCTAAAACCAATAAAAGTGAAGTTTTACAAATTTTTAAAGTCTGAAGACTATTAAGTTTTTAAATAACTGGCAAACTACACAGACTATACAAGATACAAATTTACACAATGCCTCTCTCTCTTTCTCTCTCTCTCTCTGAACAGATGTCATCACAATTTCCTTTAAATGTTTTTATAGACATTATGAAATTATGTGAGTATCTAACTTGTATTAAGTATTTAATTGCTTATTGACCCAAAATAGTATATATCATATGATAAACATAACACAATTTCCATCTAAGCCCTATGAAAAGTAATCAGGGCGCACAAAAAAATCTCACTTAACCAAAACTTAAATACCAGAAAGTGGGTAACAATAATAGATAGCATTTGTGCAGTGCAAACTACTGCTGAACAGCAAGCTCTAAGCGCTTTACAATCTGTACCATTACCCCAACAAAGCTGATAGCATTAAGAAATAATCTCAACTTCCTGGAAAGTATACAGAGCATGCTGCCATTTTACTGGCACTGAAACACTAACTTAATAACAAAATCTTTTGCTGTCTGTGGCCGGGTACCCATTCCCACCTGAGTGAAGTAAGGAACATTTGTGTAAAGTGCCTTTCACAAGGACACAATGTTGGACCTGAGGCTAGAACAGCCGAACCCACAACCTCACGATTACAAATGCGGTAGCATAACCATTAAACTACTGACGCCACCATCAGCCATTTGCTTTCCCCACAGAGAGATGAGCAGCCCACAGCAGAGACTACACCTCACCTCTGTGCCTCCAGAGACTTGTTCAGTTCCTCTACCTCCTTCACCAAAACATCTGGAACATTGAAAGCCCTGTCCCCTGCCCCTGCAATGACACCAGTTAAATCGAAGGTTATTATCATGGCATTAAAAAAAAAGAGTATCTAAAAAAGAAAATAGGACAAATACTATAAAATTTCAAAGCTTGACATTAATGCCTACAAGACCATATAAGGGTATGACACGGTGTAGGAATAATGAAAAACATCAAAATTAATCAAAGTCCAAGCATCACAATGCACATCTCTGAACTAACCACAATTTAAAAAGGCATAACATATTTCAGAGACTGAGGAAAAAAAATCTTCATTAAAAAATCAACCTGCACCCTGAAAAAAACAACAAAAAAAACCAACAACTTCAACCTACCCCCCCCCAAAACAAAACAAAACAAACCAAAAAACCCTGCTACATTCCTGAGAGATAAAATAAAATGACGATATGTAAAGAATATAAATGTTGACAGATCAGACGACGCAGATAATCTAAAAGGACAAATTTATAGCTAAAAAGAACCATTACAAACCTTCTGTAGGCCTGTTTAGAGACTTCAGTCTGTAGAACAGCATGTACGCACTCTCTTTGCCAGAGAATTGTTTCTCTATATCATGTGTGCTGATCGGGGACACGCGAGAATCATTGAAGGAAAACCACCTGTGGCCCGGCTCAGGTTCTGGAGAAGAAGGTCTGGGAACAAACATGCATACACATTATAACAATGATGTCAAACAGAACCATACTTTACAAAAAAAAACATTAACAGAAAGTTCAAGATACCAAGAAGCTTTCTGATTTATAATTTGAAGTCGTCATTTTCTACATTATTTACCGTGGATACCTTTCTTCTTTTCCTTTTGGTACATTGATCACACTTTGTGGAAGGATTGGGGGACAGGGGCAACGATTTGAGACTGTAAAAAATATTTCGGACTCAGTTGGAAAATGTGCCACTCTCAAATCTTTTAACCATCAGTTCTACAGTCTAATTACGACACCTGCACTTATTCATATTATACCAATAGTTACTGAAGACCAAGGCCCTGGTTATTTTCATCAACAGTTCATAAAAGGAACTAGACTATACACATAGATGAGATAAAGCCAAAAACAAATTCAAATTTCAGAACAATTTCAATTTTAATTGAACACTGTTGAACACCAGAAACATTCAAACAATAGTATTTTAACAAAGTACATTCAAACCTTTTGTCCTTTGTTGATGGGGGAGCTCTGTTTTCACCCTTCTTCAAATTATCCTCAATCTTTTTCTCTTCCTCTTCTCCAGTCTTGTTTTGCTTGTCTGTAGTCTGAGAATCTCCTGAGTCATTTTGCTCAGTATTACGAAGGCTCACCCAATTGGAGTCCCCATTGTAGTCAAATGAACTGCATGATTTCAAGAACTAAAACAAAATGAAAATGCCATTTGTTAGAGAAAATAAAGGTGAAAATCTTTCTACCAATGGGGAGGTGGAAGTGGTGAAGATGGACGAAAACTGTTCTATCAAAATACATAATTTCTTTCAGGTGAATGACTCTCTGACAGCATTTAACATGTTCATCTCAACTAAACACTGACAACTATTTTAAAAAAAAAGAAAGCGCAAAATTAATTCTACCAAGGCAGTTTGATTAAAATTAAGATAAATTGACTTTTGATAATTACTTCAAAAACTGAGAAAAACTGAAAAGCAAAATCATTTTAGAAATGTTTCTTTTTTTTTCTTTTTGCACACAAGAATTCAAGTCCACGAAGACATTCTGAACACCAGCTGAGTGGCTCACCTTGTTGATGGGCCCATAAGTCTTCCTGAAGCGTTTGTTCCACGACACACCTGTGGTCTTGGAAATTTCCTGCAAGCAAAGCAGCCATGAATACCATGACATTACCCCATCATAACTCAGACATAACATGTTAGACTATCGGAGAAGGTAATTTAAGCGTTTTATTTTCACACTTATAGAACTTTGAAAAGTTTTCGAAAATCACTGGACAGAGAAACAGCTGCTGACTAGTGACAAAAAACCCCCAAAAAACCAACCTTCAAGAAAAGGGAAAGCACGATAGCAGAGCAGGTAACAAAGAGCTTTCAAAAACAAGTCCAACTGTACACCATAGAGGAACACCCTCGGCGTATGTTGTTCAAATGTAGAATATGGACTACACTCACAATGCAATAGATCAGCCAATGCCCATTCATTGTAACATTTTCACACTTTTTCGTGCCATCCATTATGGGCACACATTTCAGTAAGAAATATAAAACATATGGATTTGCCCCAACTTTATAACATGAAATACTTCTGTCAAATAAACAAGACATCTATCAAAACATTTTTATTTTTGCTAAAATAAAAGAAAAAAATCACTACAACTTAAAAAAGAACAAATAGCTAAGTACTGAGATTCTTACCAAGTGCTTTCTGTGCCCCCTCAGACATTTTCAATTCTCATAACGTAAATCACACAAATGTTCTTATTCAAAGACAAGCATGGACTCACCGCACAGAGCCTGTCAATCGACATGGAGCCATGAGACTCTTGGCCCAAAATGTTCTCCACCAAATCTACAGGAGACTGACATTCTATAACATCCAATCCAGTCCCTTGAGGGTCGGCCTTAGGTTGTGCAGCCACTTCATTCTGGAGATTCAAAAAGTGACAAAAACATTTCTCTCACATGTAAACACAAGCAAGTGATCATGAACAAAACAGCTATGCCTTAATTGGATATACAAGAGACATCGTTTTTATAAAAAATATACAAAGATTTCCCATCAGCCCTCGAAAAGTGCAAACTTAAAACCCACTGAAAATCAAACACAAAACGAAAACTTTATACAGATTTATTACTTTTAAGTCACAAAAAAAGTACAATTCAGAAAATGTCCAGCCAGAATGCACTCACGGAAAAAAAAGGCAATAAATTCTGTTCTATCATTGCAAGATAGAACAAAAAGGACAGAGAATATAGAACTTCTTCACCCCCTAACCAATCATAAAGAAAAAGAAGAAGTAAACATTTCTTCTTGAAAACCATCTGCGTCAGTCTAAATAAAAGACACCTTATGCTAAAAATGCATCTTTTTTCACCTGTAAATCCCAGTGGCCAAGGCTGTCAATATCCCGGATGTAGGCAAAGTAATGTCCTCCATACGCTCCCCCACGATGGACCACCACTGAGAAGAGCTCATAAATACCATCAGAGTTGGCGCATACCTCCTGGGAAGAAAAACAGCGTATAATAAAATGAGAATCGTCTATGCATCTATGCTGAGCATTTTAAAAAATCAACCTTTTCCCTTCATCTCTTTTTTTGTTACACTATATAGAAATATCAGTTTAGTATTTCACAACAGTACAGTGATCTATGCTTGTTATCATCATCATCATCCAGTGCCAGATCTGCGACAGACATCGGCGATCATGATTTTCCATTCATTCCTTTGCTCGGATGCTCTCAGAAAAGCTACGTTTCCCTAATTTTTCCCTGTTACCCATTTGTTTAGGTTCCCTAAGTATGTTGTTCTGGGCCTACCCCTGCCTCACTTGCCCTCAATTTTGCCAGTGAGAGCTAGATGTTCAAGACCCTTATGTCTATTCAGGTGTCCCAAAAACTGCATTTGTCGTTTCCTGATTGTTTTTAACATTGAGCGTCCCACGTGGGCTTCATCAAGCACTACCTCATTTGATTTCTTTTCCTTCCACGATGCTCTTAACAGTCTCTAAGAAACCACATTTCTGTTGCCTCTATTTTATTTTCACTGTCTTTAGTGATTGTCCAGCATTCACAGCCATATAGAAGGTTTGACCAAACATAGCATTTCAGGACTTTCATTTTGGTGTTCATTGATATGTTTCTATTTTTTCAGGATTGGGCTCATTTTATTGAAACTAGCCTTAGCCATTGCAGTTCTCCTTTTTATTTCTGCGGAAGATTTGGCATCAGATGTTATCATATATCCTAGATATTTAAACTGTTGGACTTGTTTGATCTTTTCACCTTTGCTAATGAGATTACAACTAGGATTTGCTGCTTTTTTGGATATTACCATGCATTCTGTTTTCTTTACATTCAACAATAATCCTTTATGTTCACTTTCTTTTATAACAGTATCTAGAAGCATTTGAAGGTCCTTTTCGGAGCCTGCTATTAATACCGTGTCATCTGTATACCTGATGTTATTAATATTTTCTCCATTAACTTTGAGGCCTGCTTGTTATACTTTGAATTAAAAACGGTTGTCTACACCAGAGGCCATCCGACTTTTCTCAATTGTTGTAACAAACCAAAACATTCAAAGGTAAAGATAAATTGCTTCAACACTTGATTCCTATCTGCACAGTTGTGAAGTGGTGAGAGTGAGTTTACAAAATAACATTAAAATTCAAAGTTAAAAAAAAATAGTACTGAAAAAAAAAATATGCATAATTAAGGAAGACTGAAATATCAAAGTAGATGTATACACACAGTTTACATAAACAATAACTGACCTTCTCAGAATATGGCTTCATATCTAGTTCCATGGGGAATGTAAACCGGCCGTTTTCCTGGGCAGAAGAAAATGAAGAACAAAAAAATTCATCACCAGCCTGAGAACATACATATTTTGAATTCAACCTGCCTACCTCCATATCAAATACCTTCCACTTTCATTCTATTTTGCACAAGATAAGAATATTCTCCATTTCAGATCTGGAAGATACACAGTTATTTCAAATCCTTCCATAGACTACAGTTTCACAGAACAACTACAGTGGTGGGAAAAGACATAGAAACCATAAAACCCACAGGTATATTGTATAGTACATCTCTTACCTTGTAGCGTGACATTTTGACAAAGTCGTAGCTGAACCTCAACAAGGAGACTGTAAGAACAGTCGGCAGCTTCCGCAACTTAGCCCCCTGTGGACCGTATCAATACTTTGTGTCAGAAATATCAATATTCAAAAGCATACGAGAAAGCAGAAAAGAACGCTCTCTAGGTGGAGAGTACATAATATACTCGTACATGATACAAGCAGGTTTTCTCAACTTTGGTTCTAATTATAACATCATAAAATGCCTTGGAATTAACTCTTACAAATCAAAATATCTCATCTGTTCAAATGCACAACTAAAATTTTAATCGGTATAAAATCCTAAAAGAAAGATAGCAGAAATCTTTTTTCCTGGAATTGTGAGTTTGGCAAAACTATGGGGTTTCTCTTGGGTAGGACTAAGGTGCCACATAGTATTTTCCTGACTTCTGTTATGCCAAAAAGAGAGAACAAAGACATTCACACTTTTTAAAAGAATATTAAAAAAAATTTTTTTCTCCTGCACAGTGCAACACTATACTGTAAAAAATAAACAACAACAAAAAACAGTTGTTTTGATTCTATTAACAAACTTCAGAAGACCGCACAATGAAAATAAAATCTCACAGGCTGAATAGGAACTCATTGCCTGAACAAGTAAACATATAAGCAAAGACTTGACTTGTTTCAAAGCAACCATGTATAAGCAATAGAAAGGACTTATCTGACACATCTCTTCTCATTGACGTCAATCCCAGAAAAAACCCCACAAATATAGAATTGACAATACCTTACACTCCTGAGGTCACTCAGATGGTGGGTGGGTATTTTCATGAAGACTTCAGAGAAACAAATCAACCTGAAGGATCTCAGCACACACGCTACCTTTATCTTTCTGTGCAGTCCAGCAAAAGGTCTCGGGTGCACACAGTTTCAAGGCTTACGAAGGCTCAAAGGGTTTAAATATCCCTCTCATGCTTTACATTTTTTTGCTATTTTAATTCTTTAAAAGATGCTGAGATCTTAAAACAAATAATTCTGGGCTATCTTTAAGAATCACCCTGACCTTTGTAGCATCTGTGTAGGTGCCGCAGGTCTCACAGCGGTACTGGTTGCGTCCATCCATCACTTCCACCTGACGATAACACTGATTGAGAGCAGACTCCAAACCGGACAGACCGGCAATAGCCAGTGTCAAGTCAAGAAAGTCTTCCTGCAGTAACAAAACACAAATGGTTAAAACATAATGAGCACTCACTAATATTAGTAATATGACTAATAACATTGGCGCTCATATGACTTTATGCAGTTGCGAGAACCGTAAAACCTCAACTAAAACAAAACAAACTGTCTAATAATGTAAATAATTACATGCCAAAGAAACAATATTTTAAGAGGAGAAATTTCTCATGTAACCACTCTGAAAAAGCAAATTTTCCAAAATATCAAACTCCCCAACACAAGTCATTGCTGAAAGCTCAAACAAAAAGTTCTAAAAATCAGGTGCATGAGAGAATATATATATATCAAAGAAAGTCAAGTCCATTCACCTTAAATAACAAAAGCAAGCCTGGAACTGTTCCACTTGTTTGTTACAACGGTATTCTTGAACATTTGCGGGACTATCTCTATTTCGCCTTTAATTTTCTTTTCAAGTCTTCATAACACTAGCCAGTGAAGCACAGGGGGCCCTCGTGGCCTAGAGGTTAAGGTGTTGGCCTCTCATTCAAAGGTCCCGGGTTCGAATTCAGGTAGCGACCGAAAAATTTTCTTCTCTAAAATTGTATCCTTTCACCTCCTTTCCTACTCTCTAGCAAAGTTCTGTTTGCTTTTGTCTCCTCTTTCTGCCCCCACCCCCTCACCTCTTTTGACCGCGACTCTTTCTGCAGCCTTTCTACTGCTACTCCTCGACTCCTTCTTACTGTTGTCTTTCAGCCACACCCCTGATCTTCTGGTACGAAAGATCTACACCTAGCCTTCTCGGACAGGGCGAAAAATCTCGGAGGGCCCGTGTGCAAGTTGCGCACGATAAAGATCCCTTGGTGGTCTAAAATCGATAAGATTAGACTTCGGCCGCCACCCGGGCAAAGTTCAACATTTCCAACCAGCTAAAAAAGTTAATGTGTCCCAAGCGTACATATGACCGTATGCAGTTGTGAGCACCGTAAAACACATACCAAACAAAACAAACAAGAGAAGCACAGACATCGATCCCAGATGATTCTGCATCACATGCACATGAAAACTTATCATTTCAGGAATGCTTGATTCATCAAAATGCAGTAGGACTTTAGATTATTCATAATACAAGAGGACACTAAATATGCCGCAAGATACACAAAATCTCGAATATCTCGCGTTCCACACATTACTGAGATCTTTTGCAACTCTTCAATCCCATTATTATTTAAACATTGAGTTGATATACAAAGTATTTTGCTTACCTCTCGTTCGCTGACCTTCTTGCACTTCGAACATATTATCTGCGTGAAAACAGAAATTGAAGATTAGACCCCCCTAAAAATGCGTACACCAAACAGTAAAAATTAAGAATAGTGCAACATAGCTGCAGACAAGAGTATCAATCTCTACACTCCTTACATTTCAACTGATAATGAGTTGACAAATTTTTTTTTCCTTTAAAGATATTACAGTTCACTAGGTAAGAAAACAGTGTACACTGCAATGTTGAAATCAATTTGACAGAACTGCCAGGACTCGTTACTTAACTTCAGAATAGCTGGCATTGATTTTTCTGGTCCCTATATGACCATCATGTCTGTTGACACCGAGTTGCGACTTTGACAGCGACATTTTGTATCCAAGTGAGGACTCAAAATTTCGAGGTCATGAAAATTCACAGAAATCATTGTGATGCTAGGCAGTGCTTAATCATTGTCCCACAAACTCATCTGAGATAGAAAGTTTTAGTTGCAGTACCTGGTTGACAATGGTGCCGTGGTAGAGTTCTTGAATGATGTTCTGTCCTTCGGTGCCCATCAGTGAGTCCTCGATGGCACTGAACAGAATGCGGTTTAACTCCTGCACATCATGCTGTTGAAACTCCTAAGAAGGGAAAAGGTAACACAATAGTACACCTGACCGTAACGTCATACATAATTAATTTGCAACATATCAACTAGTTAACAGTCAGCGGCAGTCACCTACAGTGGAAACCTGATATAACAGGGATGGAGGGAGTAGAGAAAATGTCCTGTTATATCCGATCCCTGTTAAATCAGAAATGCAAGGAAAGTAAGCATTTGTGGACTAATCCAGCTGTACTTATTCACGGGTAGTACAGCCAAACCTGCCATGACGGCCACCTCTATAAGACGGCCACCTGTACAAACGGCCACTTTCCATTTCCCCCTTGCGTTTTTTCTATATAATTTAACTGTGTAAAACGGGCACCTGTCCAACGCGGCCGCGACCACCTTATTTTAACACACAACCCCTATCACACTAAGCAATAACACCTGTCTTAGACGGCCACCTTAGTCGTTGAGGGCGAGCCGTGATAATTCAATCACCTGTCGTTGTTGTTAGGTAGTCCCTCCAACTGATCATGTTGCGTAGGCCCCTCCCACTGTTGACTAATAGCTACCAATTTTCAGCTACTGGTGAGGTAAGCGTGTGATCCCTCATAACCCATAAGCCCCGCCCAGAACTTAAACACAAATCGTAAGTGAGATGAGTGGTCATTGTTTACCCAGTCTGTAACAAAGTAACAATGGACGTCAACATGAACTTGCGACAGAAGCGTCGCTCCTTCTCCGAGTGGTGGCGACCCATGAGTTTGTTTTTACACGGCACTCGGTCTTCCTCGTCTGATACATTTCGTTTTAATGTCACCATTGTGCAAAATCAGCAACAAAATAAAAATTACAAACAAAATACAAACCACCACCACCAACAACAACAAAGACAACAACAATAGGGCTATTTTGGATTGGGACCTCTGATAGGAATGATTTGTTTTCTTCGTCTTGATCAGTCCTGCCTAAGACGGCCACCTGTCTTATACGGCCACTTTTCTCCTTGACAATGGGTGGCCGTCTTACACAGGTTTGACTGTAGTTTCCTTTGCCACAAGTACCCAAGAACAGGGGTTTTGGCACCAACTTTCCCCTTGCCTCCTTAAACTATATCAGAAGAGTTTGGTCCACAGCGTCTGCATCGGGTAGTCTTCTTTCGATCTGGAGCAAACTTTCTATTGGAGTATGCTGCCACTATCTTCTCTCTATCCTTGATAATGGTGTGAATCAACCCTTGTGGAATGTCAAACTGACAACAAATCTCTGCCAGTGGAGCTTGCTTTTTGTCAAAAGACTGGATTATTTCGTATTTTTTGGTCAATTGAAAGGCATTATCTCTTACGCTTGACATCATTGGTGACAGTAGACACATTACCCGTGCGTGTTGCTAGGTTTCGGGCTAGATCGAAGTCTGCAGCACACCGCAGCCCTCTCTCACTTCACACGCTGTGTGTGCTTGCAGTGGCATGGCTTGCATGGGCTTGCTCCATCACTGCGTTTCTCTGTCTCTCTCTCTCTCTCTCTCACTTTTTACACATTGTTAACGAGCCTTTGTCCCTGTTATAACCGGTTGGGCTCCGATGAGGCCCTGTTATTGCCGATAACTTTTAATAGAGACAAAGAGTAGGAAAAATCGGGGATTTAAAAAATCTCTGTTATTACCGGGCCTGTTATATATGGTTTCCACTGTATTAACGTTCGAGTGAAAGAGGAAATCCTTTTGGTGGAAATCAACATCGTCCGTTCAACCCAAAATGAAAACATTCCCCAACTATACAATACTAAATGTTAATAACATAAATAAAAAGAAAGCCTACATAAAGCACGGTAAACTTGAAATCAATTCCCTTACCTTCGTTTGAATTAACTCTTTAATAGATGTGAATGGCATGTTACAGGTAAGACAAGAAAGTAGTAGTAGTAGTATAAGGTTTTACGGCGCTCGCAACTGCTAAGGTCATATGAGCGCGCAAGACAAGAAAGAGATGCTAATTTTTCAGCCGGTATGTATGCCACACAAAGTTGAAAGTCATCAAGCAAACTGCAGGATCTGTTATGTCTAAGATATCTCACCTCATGGTTTGTCCAGCCAAAGCTGTTGGTCAGTTGTATTGTGCTGACACTCTGCTGGTCACTCAACAAGAGCTGGGAGAACAGACGCTGGAGCTGGAGGGGAATCACACGCACCTGAAACACCCAAAAAGCTGGTTTGAATGGAAATTCTATCAAGACTGCAGCGTACTCCAAAAGTGTGCAGTCTTAAAAATATCAAAACTAGTCATGCATAATTATCATAAACATGTTACACCCCATTCCACTCAAGTCTAAAACATGGATTAAACTCATCTGTCAACATGTTTATGGTCTCTTACTTGTCACCTCTTTAGCTCCTAATTTTAAGCGTAAAAGAAACCAATTTCGTATTAATCAGTCTTCAACACATTTGAAAGTTTATAACATAATATACCCATATAAATTGAAAATATTAAAAAAATATTTACCCTGGCTCCAGGATTGTCCTTGTCTTGCAACCTGCCAAGATCTCTTTCTGACAGCCCAAAGAGTTTTTCTGAAATACAAGAAGATGAGTGAGAACTGCATTAAGGCATTTAGTCAAGAAGCTCTGTCCAAGAAATTGAGAGAGAAGCGAGACAAAAGTACCTTATTATCCCTTGCAGCTTTTCGCCAACAGTCCGAAACATACTAAAAGATAATCTTACACCATAACTATAAATTCATGCAGCATTTAAGAATTATTATTTTTAAATTCTAGTGATATACTCTAAAAACAACAACCCATTTTTCCTTCAGACTAGCTACAATGCAAAATAATTCTGATGCACAAAGCTGCTTCTTCTTTCCATTCCATCCAATACTCGATGTGTTGGTTCCAGGGACAGTAATGTGACAGAGAAAAGGTAAGCAACTTAAACAAGGAGGTATTAACAGTGTGTGAAACGTATCTCAAAGAGACAGCAACAGAATTTAAAAAACAAAAACAAACAAAAAGCAGCTTCGAAGATCCCTATCTATACAGCAACTAGTACCACTATGACATGAAAAATTCAATACAACTTAATACAACATGACAGCAAAATCATACAGAAGGGCACATTGTTAGCTTCCAAAACGTAGCGCCATGTTTTTTTTTTATCTTAAAAAAAAATAAAATTGGGTCAGACTTCAGAGGGCTGAAACCACACCAGAAAAGAGATAGAGAAAAAACAAGACTCACCTCTGAATTCAGGTGTATACAGTAAAGTCTGCAAAAGTGAGTTGAGGTAGCACGTGGCTCCAAGGTTATCAATTCCAGCTAAGTGACATTCAGCTCTGTGGGCAGGAGGCGCTGGTATAGAGGATGTTGTCAAGTTATCTGGCCCTACCATCTGGCTATCCTCATTGAAGAGATTTCCAAACATGGTTGATCCTAGTGGAGCTCAATACCAACAACTGTAGAAATAGGAAGAGAAAGAATAAACACCATACATCATGTATTTAATATCTGGACACTGCAGAATTTCAGCACCATAGCTATAGAAGCAGAAATAAACGTGTAGAACTAAAAGTGTACCATAACAATTCTCCAAGTTCTTAAAAAAAAAAAAATCAGCCTCATCACTTCTACCAAACTGCAACAAAAATCAAATGACAAACATCTTTTACTTGTGAAAGAAACTAAATGTAACACTAATCAAGAACAAAAAAATAAACACTATTATAAGCTTGCTATTCGCACGCTCATATGACCTTATGCAATTGCGAGCGTCGTAAAACTCAAACAAAAACAAAAACATAAGCTTGCTGTTAGAAATTAAGCATTTCACTGCTAGGGTGACATAGGACTCACATTTCCTCAGTGTGCTCTCTGGCACTAGTCGGCCTCTCTGGTGGAACTATATGATCAAGCGAACTTCTGTGTTATACCCCATCCTCCCTATCCCCATCCCAACTCCTCTCCCTATTCCCTACTCTAGTCCCTTCCAAACCCCTCCTCCAATTCTCCAACCTCTACCCCAACCCCTTCCCACAACCAAACCCTAACGCATCGCCCCCCCCCTCACATTCCCAACTCCTCATCCCACCGATAACTCCCCACATAGCCCACAGTTAGCAGAACCAACCCCTCAGTCAATTCGTCATTGGTGATGGTACTACCACTGCTGTGCCTACAAGGAGCACTAAAAATTATGTAGTTTTGCTGGTGCAAGAATTTTAATTCATAAAATTTAATACATGTATTAATATTAAAGATAAACAAATTTGTTCATCTTTATGGATTTTGTCCATATGCATACGCCATGCGTAATCACAGCAGGTTAATTCCAATTGACTCATTTTTGCGACGTAACCCCAGCACATCGTCGGCCTGGTGATAAAACCGTCTAACCCACAAAATATCAAAAAACTTTTTATTGGCCCTATCGATAGTAAATTGTC